TCTGGCTTAGTGTTAATTGTATTGATAGCATGGAAGCTATAGTGAATGTTAAAAGTTGTAAAGCTTCGGCTTTAAGTGAAAGCCGAACCTTTTTTTCAAGGGGGGAGGTGTTGTGTATGGGCGTCAGCCCTTAAAGTGTTTACTATAAAAGCCAGAGAAAACGTCAGTCTATTCGGATCATACTAGCGGGGCTAGTCACTGATCTCCTTCGTCTGTCCCAATCTCGGACACCTCGGGTCGTAACAGATTAATTGGGATATTGTCGGATTAGATAGATTGTCGAAAGGTGATCATGAGATACGTTGCTCTATCCCTCTCTTTTCGCGCCGTTGGCTTAAATTTTGAGAATTTCTGAAGGTCAAGTAGGAACACCAATTTTCAGAAGGCCAGATACCTCGCTATTCTTTTAGATCCCTTGAAATATCCGGATATCACTAAAATCCACTTAGCTTGATTGAATCCTCCGATATACACAAATCTTCCTTTTTTAGCGCCACAGCCAAAAATTTCGAGAATTTTGGAAGGCCAGAGAGCAAAATTTCTTCTTTTAGCGCCGCAGGCGAAAATTTTGAGAAATTTGGAAGACCAACACACTAGATTTCTTCCTTTTTCATCGCCGCAGGCGAAAATTTTGAGAATTTTGGAAGATCCTTAAGCTAAAAATCTTCCTTTTTGCGCCGCAAATGGGGGCATAAAAATACTCGGTTTTAACCGAGTACGTCGAGTAGGAAGTTTCCGAGCTCGAGTAATCCGAGTATTATGATCCCGAGTTCCGAGTCGAGTAATTACGCAAAAAACCCGAGCGGTCGAGTCGAGTAACTCGAACTCGCTCGAGCTCGACTTACTCTATTATTAACTAAGAAGATGCTCAAGTTATAATTCTCGAATCCCCTGGTAACACCATGTAATTTAATAATTGAACATAAATTCCCTCTTGGGAATAAAATTATGTAACTATTTTTAACCAAATACATTTTTATTTAATAGAATTTCTAAATGCTGAACCAAATGAATGGATATTTAACAATGACAAAGGTGAATTTTATTGGAATCAAGCAGCAAAAGATAAACATATATCACTTCATAATGATGAAAATGTGATGGTAAAACAACAATTAACCAGTGATTTTAACGAATTATTAAATGCAAATAATTTAAAGAAATTACGATTTAGTCTGGTCGATTTATTTAAAAACATTAAATTTCATTTTATGAATCAACACAAATTTACAAATTTTAAACAATTTCCAAAACATCCAAAAATAATTTATATAGGTGGATTTCTTGTTGAAAAAAGGGGAATTTTGACAAAAAGAGAAAAAGTTAAAACTCGAGTAAGATTTAAATAAATTTAAAAAACGCAGATTAAATTTTATCGAATACTGTTTAGTATACCAATTATCTTGGCTAATTATCGGAGGATTCGGTGGATTGAAGTAATTAAGTAAATATAAGAGGATTTGGATTTTCTCCAACAAACACTCGATTGCTCGATATTACTCTTAATCCTCATAAATCCTGCAAAATAATAACTAAATTAATTACACAATCCGTGAGCTGGATTGTGTAATTAATACGGAGTGAGCTATTATTTGAGACAGGCAATTACGGTATTAAAGTATATCGAGTATATATTTTTTAAATATTGTAAGGGGGTTATATTATATTCATAATTTGAAAATTATTCTCCAAAAATTTCTATTAATTTTAAGAATGGATGTGTTGCTTATGTTTCGTTTGGGTCGGTTAACATAGATGGAGATATGGAGGAGGGGCACTTTGCAAAAATGATTAGCGCTTTTAAAAGTTATTCTAATTGCAAATTTAATGTCAGAGTTAAAGAAGAACGTCTTTCTGACGGAAATGTAGACTTTGTGAAAGGATTTATTAATCAACAAGAAGTATTAGGTAACTACATATAAATTGTAGCTATTAAATTGTACAAAAATTTATTTTTTAGCCAAAGATAATATAAAATTATTTATATCTCAATGTGGATTGCTTAGTGTAACAGAGGTATTAATTGCAAAAAATTTTTTTGGAAAAAAGTTTTCATAATTGAGTAAATTAAATTATAAACGTATCTCTAAAAGCATAACAAAAAACATATTAAAAAATGGAAAATGAGCCTATAACGTTTTTCAGAACTACCTAAGTCACTAATTTATTTTATAGCTAATCAAAGAACGTAAACTTTAGACTACATTCACAAATAAATTTGTGGAAGATCAGGACTTCTAAAATGACTGTTTTTTTGCACAGATCATAACTGATCCAGGCTTAGGAAACAATTTTTTGTAAATAAAAAGCATTTCCGTGAAATGCTCTAAAATACATTTACATACTTTAAATTAAAAGATTATAGAATCTTTAAAAATATTTTATTTTAATTTTAAGTCAATATATGCCGGTGTTCCTTTGATTTGTATTCCATCATCGGGTGATCAATTCTATATTTCATCTCTTGTTGAACACTTGGGTATTGGAATTTATATTAAAGCATATGAGAAAGATGAGAATGCAGGAGCTATTGAAAATGAAAATTTTGAACCGGAACTTTCATCTGCAATTACGAATATAATTGAGAAAATGTAAAATTATAAAAAATATTATATAAAAATTACATATTTTTAAATAATAGTTCGCCTCATCAATCTAACACTCTTCACATGCGAGAAAAGATTCTTGATGATTTTGACAATGATAGCGAGCCAAAGAATAAAGAAACTTTTCTTGTCAAGATCAGAGAAGGGATTTAAAATTGAGTTTTCAGAAACTGGGACTGATTTTTGGAAATTTTTACTGATTTTTGGGACTGATCTTTGGAAATTTTTACTGATTTTTGGGACTGATCTTTGGAAATTTTTACTGATTTTTGGGACTGATCTTTGGAAATTTTTATTGATTTTTGGGACTGATCTTTGGAAATTTTTACTGATTTTTGGGACTGATCTTTAATAATTTTTACTGATTTTTGGGATTGATTTTTGGAAATTTTTACTGATTTTTGGGATTGATTTTTGGAAATTTTTACTGATTTTTGGGATTGATTTTTGGAAATTTTTACTGATTTTTGGGATTGATTTTTGGAAATTTTTACTGATTTTTGGGATTGATTTTTGGAAATTTTTACTGATTTTTGGGATTGATTTTTGGAAATTTTTACTGATTTTTGGGATTGATTTTTGGAAATTTTTACTGATTTTTGGGATTGATTTTTGGAAATTTTTACTGATTTTTGGGATTGATTTTTGGAAATTTTTACTGATTTTTGGGATTGATTTTTGGAAATTTTTACTGATTTTTGGGATTGATTTTTGGAAATTTTTACTGATTTTTGGGATTGATTTTTGGAAATTTTTACTGATTTTTGGGATTGATTTTTGGAAATTTTTACTGATTTTTGGGATTGATTTTTGGAAATTTTTACTGATTTTTGGGATTGATTTTTGGAAATTTTTACTGATTTTTGGGATTGATTTTTGGAAATTTTTACAAGTTATTTTTTATATTATAGTTGATTCCCAATATTATGATATAACAATATTACAAACTCCATTCTATGTAGTACTTGTTAGTGTTATGTTATTTTTAGAATACGGAAATAAATAATGGGAGTCAACTAATATTTTTATTTAGAAATCTCCACTCTAGAGTGGATAACATTTGCATTTTAAATTTTTTAAAATTAGTATAAAATTTTGCTTTTTTTAGTATGTTAAAGAACAGGCTTCTTTAAAAATAATATAAATTTTTATTTTAATTTAATACAAGGTTATATTAGCAATTAGTACCGAAACTTCAAAAATCTTGCCGATAAGGTACTTATAGTGGTGGTATCGGATTACTCTGACTCCATTATATACAGCTATAGCGCCATAGCAAACAAAATATTTAAATCATATCATTTGACAATAAAAAGTGGTTATAAATAAATAAGCACAGTTGCCTCAATTCTTGTAAATTAACCTTTACTTTTTTCGCTTCAAAATTACGAATTACCGTATTTCCGAAAATAGAACCCCATGGGGCTCTATTTTTCAACTATCCTCAAAAGAGGGCTCTATTTCATGGTGGGGTTCTAATTCAGGGTAGGACTCTATTTTTCAACTACTCTCCAAAGTGGGGCTCTATTTCAGGGTAGGGTTCTAATTCAGGGTGAGGTTTTATTTTCGGAAATAACATTTTAAGTATTTAATCACAAAAGTTTGTTTTGGAACCGTCCGTTATAACTAATGTTTAAAAATTGCATAAAAACGATTAGATAATTATAAATATTTCTTAGCATAAAGTCAAGTAAAAATGTTAATTATCTTAATCATAAATAAATAACAATAAGAAGAAATGGGATTAACATATTCCCTAAGAAATATTAGATATTCCTCCAATATATTAAAAAAATTTTAAATAAAAATAATTTTGTAGTTTATTTATAAATTTTTTATCAATTTGATCATTGTAAAATAAATATTTCTTAGTAATTTAAAGTTTAGAGCAATAATTTATTATTCATTGCATATTATTTAGTAGGAAAAATTTTATTCGTCAAATAATTAGGCTAATTTATAAACTACATTTTACAAAAATATTTTTATGTATTTTGTGCTAAATTTATTTTTAATTAAATTTCAATGAAAACAAAAATATAGTCACAATATTATGAATAATTTAAAAGATAAAAGAAAATTTTAAATAATGAAAAAAATATTTTACTAGAAAATGATGACTATAAAATGTGTGTTGTGTGTCCTTCAGCTTTAATTAATTAAGTTTATGACGAAAAAATTAAAAATATTTACGCAAATAAATAAATAATTTAGACACAAAATTTTGGGTATATAAATAAATGCTAATTTGAATGCTCAAATCATTCCTAACAACTTTTATTTAATTTAGTCCCACAGTTAATTTTGTAATAATAAACATAGTTTTTATATATCAGTTTAACCATATTCTTTATCGGGGCCTTATTTCTCATCTTCCCATACTTAGAATAGGAGTTTAAGATTGGAGAATTTTAGCTTGAATTGATGGAAACCTGACCTGGAAAAATGAATTTCTCTTAGGAATAATGGGAATAGAAGCTTGGAATTCCAAGTCTCGCAAGAACTATTCCAGTTCCAAATCTGTAAAGATGAGAAATAGCCACTGGGGATTATTTTGTCAGTAATCCCCAATTATAAATTAAGATTTCAATCCCTAAAGAGCATCTAAAAAGATCAAATCTTTGACTATTTTTTAGAAATTTGATTTACAAAAATGAATATTTTTCTTACATTCTTCCTTATGGCATTAATCTTTGCCGCAACTAATGCAAACGAAACGGGCGTAGAAAATGTGAAAGGAGTTCAAGAAACTGAACAAATCAAGGGCGTTAATAGCGAAATACCACAGTGAGTTTAATTATAATTTTTTTAATTCCTCACATTTCTGTACAAATATGGGGAAAAAGCTTGGGAGGAAAAAATTAGTCTGTAAACGATACTACATACCCAATCATATTCATGGGGATTTTTAGGATTTATAAAGATTCAATGATTTATAAGGATTCAATATATAAAATTAATTAGTATATAAAAATATATAAAAACTAATTAATGAATACAATATAATAGAAAAACAACAACTCTACTAAAATATACTTAACTTAGAAGATAATCTAAACAATAAAAGAAAAACTAAACCTAAAATATTAACACAATCTGAACTTATAACTATTGTTTAAATTAGAAAAAATATTGTAATTTTGATAATTACAATTAAATATTTTTAATTTTTAGTGGACGACACAAACGTTGGTATGGAGGCTGGGGCTGGGGAGGCGGATGCTGTGGTGGTGGATGGTGGGGACGCTAAATTGGGAAAATTTTGGAGCAAAATAGAAGGGAAATAACAAATAAAAAAATGGATTTTTAGTTAATTTAAATAATATTACATGAACTGTGCATTATCTTCCATAATTTTAATATTAATAAAAATTATTCAAAATTTTCCATTTTATACATATATACGAAATTTTATGTATAGAATTTTTCAAGTCAGATACATTCTAATAGTCCTTTCCATCAATAAACGCATATACATAGTTTTTATTGATAATATAATATTTTAAGTAATAATTAAGAAACAGTGATATTTCGACTGTTCTTTCCTTTATGTAGATTAGCAATCACATGGGAAGTGATTGCTAAAACAAAACAATTTAGTAAAAATCAGAGCAAGCTCTTTGCCGATCGTTTCATAATCTGATTTCATTTTTACTTATAAAAAATTAAGCTCACCATTATTTCTGATATAATATAAAAATATAGATAAGAGAAGGTTAACATTAATTACGTTTGGTATTATTTATTTTTTTTAATTTAATTATTTAGTAGTTTATTTTTTTTTTTGAGTTTGTTACATCTAATTTTATTCTAATCTATTTTAGGCTATAATTTATTGTATTTGCCAAGCTACCTTTAAGAAATAATTTTAGATTTTTAGTATTTACTAATGTTAATTCTCGAGCCAATCCTTTTCATTGCTCCAGTATTTGAAGGTGATAATATTTGCTGTGTTGCAATGTTTATTTTGATTGTCCTTTTTATACATATAAGCTTCAAATACTCTACTATTTAACACACAACTCAAGAATTTATATTTAAATGTTATAATTTAAAAATTTGTGAATAATATTCTATTAAAATTAAATTACTAAATTATTCTAAAACATTTTATAACTCATTATTTCTTTAGCATTATAATGAGAAAATAAAAATATACTTAATATGTACTTCAATTACATTGACATTTATTTATTAAAATTTATAATGTTTTTTAAATGATAATATTCAAATACAAGTCGTAGTGGGGAAGTCCTTTTGGAAATTTAATAAATTTTAAGTCGATTTTATAAGACAAAATATTTTTATAATTAGAAATTTAAAGATTTATTATTTTTATTTTTACTTTTTTTAAAATTCATTAACCTTTTAAATGTTAAGCGTAATTGTAGCCAGCGCATTTGCGCCTCCACATGTTTAAATTGTTCATATTTGTATTTTACACTATATTGTTATTTTTATATATTCAACCATTTTTGAATGATTTATTTTGTATTGCCTTTATATGTAAATTGTAATCTTTCTAGATTATTATTTAATTTTAAAAATTATTGAAAATATTGTATTAATAACTGTCTTATTTATGTAAATGAAACTTTAAATTAGATAATAAAATTAAATATGATTAACATAATAAATTTTTGTTTAAATTATTATTTTATTTAAAGTATACCTATTTTATATTTATAGTTATTTTAATTATTTAAATCTTTATGGAAAAAATTAATTATGATAAGTTTTATTCAGATGTTTTGCATTAATATTAGATAAAGTTAGGTTGAAGAAGATGAAGAGGGCGAAATGGTCTATTGATCAATTTTATCAAATTTAGTTTCTATATTGAATAAAATATTTTTTAAATTAACATTATAAATTTGCATTAGACCAATAAAAATAAATGAATAATTTTTATAAAATAATTTTATAGAAATCATTTTTATACGTTTACTTGTTCAAAAGCTTACTTGATTTACTTATTCACAAGATCTTTTCGAATTCCTGATGTTCTTTAATGAGACGTTGGAAATTGCATCTAAAATTCTTGATGCAAATATGAACAATTTTTATTTTAATATTTTATTTTATCTAAATTAAATATTTATTTATTTTATATCACTAGTTATTTTTTGCTTTGTTGGTATAAAATTTTAGTAAAGCAATAGTTATTTTTTAATTACAAATACATAGTTGCTGTCATGATAATCTTTATATTAATTTTGTCCACTTTTACATTAATATCAATTTAAAATTATGTTTTAATATGTATAATTAAGTTTTATATTATAAAACCCACATTTTAAAATTAATAATTTTATGAGTAAAAGTTGTGTCATTTGTTATTTTAAAATTATTACAAGTTTCTATAATTTCGATGTTATTATTCTAATAGTGATTTTTGATAAAGAATCTTCAAAACATAGTGTATATTTATGATTAATCTAGATGAATATTTTTGTTAAATAAATAAAATAATAGTAATTTATACTGAATTATAGAAGGTGGATTTCTAGAGTAATATCTTTTGAAAGGGGACTCTCTTTTTCTCAAATCAATTCAATAAACAAATACAAAATAAAATACTTTTACTTTTCTTTTTTTTTAAATAATTTGACAACATAAATTACGAATGAACGAACAACGAACATGTGGGAGGGAAAATGGGGTTTACATTAAAAGAGGGGAAAGAATAATTGGATGGGGTCAAAATATGGGGAGAGAAACGAAAGAAAAACATGTGCTATTTCATTTTAGCATCACATCCCGCTCGCTTCAGATGACGGCGTCCTCGACGTCAGAATAAGATCTTCCATCTCGGCCTGTTTTCGCGAAAGGTCTTGGGTGGCGAGGTTGTCTTTTCTTTCTCTTGGGAATTTTCAGTGTCAACATTGATCATAGGGTTCTCGAGGCCGACTCGAGTTATTAAACCCGATCTTCGATGAAAAGTTTCCAATAGGACTCCAATGGTGAGAACTTCGGTCACCGAAACCGATTCTACCAGTCCTTTTTCTTGTTTTCTTTTCCTTTTCTTCCAGTCTTTTTCAATTCCATCGTCCTTTGATTCACAAATTACATCTTGCATTGTCACCGAGACAAGATACAAGACTTTCATCAGCTTTGATTCAAGCATTCTTCGGTTTATCTCCTTCAGAAACTTCCTAGAAAGTTCAGGGACTCTGATCAACGTGACCAGTTTTTCCGAGTTCAAACACCTCCGAACTCCGAGAAAAAATCGTCCCGTGATTTTTCTTTTCAAAAATCCATATCCAAAATCTCCCAGATCATTCCTTAAAATTTCCTTCCTTAGAATCTCGCATCTTAGCTTTAACATAATTCTTGCTTCCTTCAATTTAGACCTTAACAAATTTCTTCTTTCTTTAACAATATTGTCATTTTTTTTCAAAACATTCAATTTATCTCGTGTTGGTTGGATTTCCTTTTCAGGATCAGACTCAAACACTTCCAATCTAGATCCCAAAATTTCTTTTTCATCACTATTTTCTTTCAAATCATCATGATATTCATCTTTTTCCTTCAAATCAACAAATTCTTCAACCGCTTTTTCCAAATCAAAACATTCTTCGCCTCCTTCTATTATCTCTACCAATTCTTCACTTTCAGAACATACAATTTCTTCCTTATTTTCTTCATGGGAAACAGGAATATTTAGTGGAACAATTTCTTGAAAAACATTGATTTCAGTTGGAATAGGAAATTCAACAGATACTAAATCTTGTTTTCCATCTAAGGAGCATTTAAGTTCCACTTCCAATTCACAAAATTGTTCATTTCCAAAATCTTCTAGTGGTTCAACATTTAATTCCTTTTCACAAATTAAATCCTTTTCAACAATTACCAAATCTTCCAATAGTTTTCCTTTTTCCAAATTTTCAATTTCGATTTCTTCTTTGGCCGAATCTTGATTGATTGGCATCTCAAAAAATTCCAAAATTTCTTTTGAAAATTCTTCCTTTTCAAATTGAATGTTGACCTTATTTTTGAATGATGGTGTGGGAATATTTTGAGGTTTGGAAATTTTCTCATGCTCTTTTAAATTTTTCTTTTTCTGAGGGGAATTGGTTCGGAAAGAACAACCAAGAGAACTTTGGTTTTCCCCTAAATTTTTCTTTTCCTTGGTAATCTCTTTTAAATTTTGCCTTTCTTTTGTAGTCTCTTTTAAATTTTGATGGTTTTTCTGCAGAATGTTTTTAAACTCATTTGGTAATAGTTGAGAAAGAATATTTTGACTGATAGAAGCATAAGTTAAGGGTTCTTTAGCAATAGCCTTTTTAAAAGCATGGCTTGCCCTAAAGCTCAATTTCGATTTGAGAGCCTTAATTCTTTTCTTGTCTGGCCAATCCTCTGTAGAAACTTTGAATTTCTTGAAAAATTTCTTAATTTCAAAAGATCCTTCAGTTCCATCCAAATCTGGAATTGTGTCTAACAGAAGATTTTCCATGTTTTCCAGTGACGCATTTTCGGAGACAAGATTAGGATTTTGTTCGAATGGTTGCATTGTTGGTATGAAAGGATAGGGGTATTGCATTTGGTGATAAAAACCATTATTTTGATGACCAAAGAAGATTGGGAAGCCATAAGGCTGCGAATTATTTATTGGCATATTCATTGGAGGGTAGACTGGGTAAGGCTGGAAGAAATATTGATTTTGTTGTGATGGTTCCATTTTGTTGACGAAATTTCAAATCCTATCCACCGAGGCTAGAATTTGACACGACGAAAATTCAATCAACCCACCGAGGGAAAACTGAATAAGATTTTTTTCAGAAAAAATCTCAAAAAAAAGTTGTCAATACGAAAACTATCCCACCGAGGAATAACTTTTCTAAAAATATTGTTGTTGTTGTCGCAAAAAAATAAATTCCTGGTCCACCGGGGGCCAACGAAGATCAATAATAAAAAGTCAATTCGTAAATAAATTCTTTTCTTTTTCACCACACAAAGAACAACCTCTTCCTCAGGAGCGCCAAGTAATATCTTTTGAAAGGGGACTCTCTTTTTCTCAAATCAATTCAATAAACAAATACAAAATAAAATACTTTTACTTTTCTTTTTTTTTAAATAAATTGACAACATAAATTACGAATGAACGAACAACGAACATGTGGGAGGGAAAATGGGGTTTACATTAAAAGAGGGGAAAGAATAATTGGATGGGGTCAAAATATGGGGAGAGAAACGAAAGAAAAACATGTGCTATTTCATTTTAGCATCACACTAGAAAGCAGCTAAGAAAAAGAGAAAACTAACCAAAATAAAATTAACTGAATATGTATGTTTCTAGCGCCGATGGCTTGGCTTGTCTTTCCCCTCTTCATTCT